AAAAAAAAAAAATAATAAACCACGGGTAACCCTAGAACCGCCCTCGGCCCATGGCCGCGCGGTTAAAAAAACGCCTAGGGGTAGCCGGTTGAGACAGTCTGAAGTTTTCTTTCCACTGGCTGACCACGGCACTGTTGTCCATCGTGTCATGTCCCTCCAGGTATTTATTCTGTTCTGTATTTAATATCTAGAAACATCCAGGCTTTCGATCGTGCCATCGTCGTCATCTCGGATAAACTACAGAGGACGTCAATATTGTTTGCGTCGATGAATTGGGTTTCTGAGGAATATGGCATTACCCGTAACAAAAGTGACTGCCTTCACCTGTAACAGAACGAGGTAATAAGCTAGCAACCGCCATCAAATGGCCATCAATGTGCCTACGACTCGACTACATGTAATTCGCCATTTTCGTTCTACCGCAAACTCAAAGTATCGCAGGCGAAAAAATAGCCGTATTAGAGAAAAAATCGTTTACACGACAAAACTCTCCGTATTCAAAAGTTTTTGGATTCAAAGTTACCACTTTAGATTCCGGATTCAAAATCTCCGGGGACACGACAAAACCGGGAAGCTTTTATTTCGGATTCGTCCACTTTTGTGTAAACCGTGCAAAACTAATCCGGTATTAAAACGTTCCGGATTCATCACGAGTCCGGAACAATTTCCTTTGGTGTAAACCTTAGTCTAAGAAACGCTTTTGAACTTCATAATTTCATCTACTCGTACCTGCAGAAAGAAAAGCAAGCCCCGATCGAAGTCCTCAAAAAAGGAAAGGACATAAAACATAAGGCGACAATTTCATTGCTGTGAAGTTCAGCGATAATATTTCTGACATTTGGTGATCTTTAGCAGCAAAATAACAATGATACTGGTTCTCCTAGATGACAATTCTTGTCTGGTGAGCGCAAACAGTGGAACACGGTAAAAATATTACTTTTGCCAGAGCCTGTTGGGAAAACGGCCATCACATCTCTCCCATAAGGCAGGTTGTTTACAGCTGTTTCTTGCTCGTGTTTGGCATTTAACAATTTCGCGATAGTCGCGAAGAATATCGAGGCTCGATAACGCTTTCGACAACGCTTTCTCAATTATTTTCTGTTTACACGCCAAAGATCTGCGTTGTAATCAATGTTCTTCCTTAGGGCTGTCCTTTAGGAGATTAGCGAAAATATGACCGATGAATTAGCCTTCTGATCCACTGGCAATGGCCCGGACGCCAGCGTACTAGACTAACAAAAACTGCCGGTCATCCGTGCCGGCGGTTTCTCAGTTGTGTCTCCCCCAGGTTCTTCGCGGCTTCGCCACTCGTTAACGCGGTTTTGGCAGTCGTTATCGCGGCTTCGTCGCTTTAGTTAAGAATATGCTGGGGAGATCCGTCCAGTGAAAGTAAGAAAGAGGCAGAAGGAAAAACACCTAAAACACAGGCCATGAAGTTCGATAGTTGAATTTCGTGACACGTTTGGTCGCGTTTCGTCGTTTGCCAAAATTCAAAAGCTAAAACAAAAAACGAAACGAAACAAAATGCTCGAGTGCTTACTTTACTGAAAGGCGATATGGCTAAAAAAAATCGTTTGTTTGGGACGAGGAAAGGTGGGTACAGCACTAGCGAAGAACGCGAAGCGTCTTGGTTAGATAAGCTTAAGACTTATTTGAATTGTTTTGTTTGCTTTTAAATTTTCAAGGCACCGGTAAAATCGGGAAGGCCAGGTTTGAAATTGAATGAAACCATTACAAGCGATCGTTGATACAAAGAAAATGAAGATGTGAACCATTCAGTTGTAATGATGATTTTAGCAACTGCAAATTAGGCGAGAAAAAATTGTTTCTGGACTTGAATGTCCACGAATAAAAAACAACATTAGACAAAAGAACATTTCTTGCATTAAATAGATATTGAAGGACGCTTATGCACACTTTACCCTCCTTATTTGGTCACTTTTCTTCTAAGCCATGAAAAAGATCGATTGAAAAAATATCTCCCATTCATAAAAAAACAAACAAACAAATAGTTGGCACGAACAGCTTGAAGTTGACATCATGTGTTCCCTTACTTTGCCGATTGTTCCGCGTGCGTGGACTCATTTGACCACGTAAGAAAAAACTCCGCGCATGCGTAAACACGGATCTTGCCAACTCGGAATGCTTTCTTTATTTTCAAATACGAGTGTCTATATCTCCGCTTCTGGTGGGTAACTTTTTTTTTTCAATTTTCGGTGACGACTAAAAATAATTGGCTACGTATATCAACCGATTTTTTAAAAAAAAATGTAAGATAAAAAAAAAAAATAATAATAATAATAAACTAATAGTCGAAAATAAGCTTTTTCTTTCAACTGCGAGACAAAATTGGAGATCATTCCTGATAACATCTAATATAGCAGTTTTAGAATATTTCACCGACCCGTTTTCTAAATAAGACAATAGATTCCAATTTTGAGTGAACAATTGATTGCGTCAGATCGTTGCCATGGTAAGAGATTGCGGGGAAGAATTTAATGAAACAAATCTGTGATGTGTGTTTCATTTCGCCTTTATTTTCAAGTACAAGAAAAAAGAATCGTTCTTATTTTCGCACTATTTCGTCATTTAGCTTCATGTAGACGCTAAGAAAACACCTAAAAGTATTAACGTAATGAACTATATAGTATCCTGTATATAACTATATATACAACAACTATTTCGTTTCTTAATGGTCAACCAATATAAGAAAAAGTATGCCTCAAAGACAAATGACTTACTACCTTTCGAATGTCATGTTTCACCTAACAGCGACACAAGTTCACCCAGAACTCCCTTCTTTGACAATAGTAATCAAAATGGCGGAGTGGCATTGCTGATGGCGTGCGCTCTTATTATAAATATGACGAAAAGTGCTGACCACTAAGTCAGACACTACAATCAACACAGGGACTTAAAAGGTATTTTTAAAAAAAGATATTGACATCTTGTCGTCCTTAACATGATAAGACTGAGAAATCCAGAGTAGAGTTTCAATTATGGAGAAAACGAACAAGCAAAAGCAGACACATAGCTAACCTAACTAAAAAGGCTGATTCTAGTCTTCTGTGATCTCAGATACTAGTGGATCCCGTTATAACATATAAACCAACTACGAGAGAGTACATGTCTACTTTCTGGCCGTTTCCATAACGTCAAACAGTTACTAAAATTGCCCCAAATAAGACAAGAACCAATTAACGAAAACGTAAACCAGCGCATACAATTAAAACTTGTCATTAAAATAAGGAAAACGTAGAAGTAAGCTAATTGTACCTCAAATATGTCGTAGATTTCGTACATTTACCTTAACATTCTAATTACAGATAATTGCAATTGCAACAAAAGATGCTATGTCCCATTTAAAAATAGTACCTGTACAGTTAATTGAGTTTCCACTCCATTGTCCAGATTGTAAGCACGTTCTAGTCACATTCCGGGCCTCCCCTTCTGTCCTGTTCATGACAAATCCATCTTTACAGGTATACACCCATTTCGATCCGTACGTGGTGTTACACGAGGGCTGATTTATTAGATTGGCTCCATGCGGGGTATCCAAAGGCCGCCAGGTTACAGCTTTAATAAGAAATATTAGCGACTAGATTATGAGCTAGTAATTTATATCGTAAAGAAATTACCGGTATACTGTTTTAGCAGAATTCTAAAAAAAAAATTCTTTTAAATAACAATTTCCAGTTACTCCTAATCAAGTAGTATTCAATGTCACGCTTTAGCAAAATATTAATATGTCGCGTGTGGATTGATCCGTACTAACACTTACAGCTGTTTGCGAGAGCTGATGAGGTCAATTTTAAAATTTAAAAGCCTAATAACGGTCTGTTTCCTTTCTTTAGTTTGCGAGAGCTGATGAGGTCATTGGACAATTTTGAAGTTTTAAAGTCTAATAACAGTCTTTATTATATGGCTGTGTCTCACAAGGACTGGGAACTACCGAATTCACGAATTTGATTGCCTGAAATCGATATTGACCGCGGTCTAGATTTTCCCATCTAGACCGGCATCTAGACCGGTTTCATTTCGCGTTTAAAAAGTAGCAAACTAAAATACAAAAATATTCACCATTTTCTTTCATGTAGATGCCTACGAAAACCATTAATTGTTAGCCGCCAGTCGTTTACCGGAAGACAACCCAGAATAAAAGTGAGATAACCAAGCTGAAATAATTTGACCACGAGAGTGGCGATTTATTGACTAAAATAACTTTAGTGACAGCTTAATTACCAAAAACTCGACGGATCGTTAGCGCAGGTGGGCGTGAAAATAGGCCCAGCCGTAAGCAAGAGTAAAGGCCAGTGACTGGTGAAGGCGGAATGACTGGGGATGGAGGTGGGAAAATTCTCTGATGTGTACTCTCCTCGAAGGTTACTAAGAATAAGGGCGAACACATGTCTTACACTCTCCTTGTATGATGTGAATAAACCGCGGAATTCAAGATATTCAATTTGATTATAGATGAACGGAAATATGCTGAATTCCAGCCTTCAGAACAGCCACATAGCAATTACGATAACATAATACTAAAATGTTTACTATACTAAAATGTGTACTAAACGAATGTCAGCCTCCACATAAAAGATATTATGGCGGTGTCCATAATCTCGTGTTTTTATTTTCTTCTCAATCATTTATGGAAGTGCCAAAAAGCCTGATGACAAAAAAAAACAAAAACAAAAACAAAAACAAAAAAAAAGGAAAGAGAACGAGCAAATTTCGTCAGATTTAAGTAAAGCTCACCAGTTAAAGCAAACCAGTTGCATTAAACTAATTAAAGTTTTCTTCTTTGCCATATAATAAACATCTTATTAAGCGAGCTAAGTCGGTCTGTAAGGGAGAATCTTGACCTCAGTCGTGTGTACAGACCT